TGAGGTTTTTTTTTTTTTTTTAAAGGTGTGCCCTTTTCTTTTCACACAATCTTAAATCCCTTATCATTTCTGCTACTGTATTTACACTGACTTGTCTTGGTCCTTGATGTGTCTTCTGAGCTCTAGATTATTCACTATTCATTTCCTGAGTAATGAAGGTTAACTGATTAGGATAATAAGTAAAAGTAAGGCTAAAGTGGGGATCATTCCCCACAAGCCTGGGGTTAATAAGTCAAAGAGGAATTGCCCCACCCTAGCCTGGGGTTTCTCTCTGTTCCTCAATATAGCGAATGACGTTACCAACATCATCAGGTAAGCCAGAACCCCTAGCTCCCCTCTCCAGCTGCCCAGAACAACAAATAACTACACTCTGTGGGGTTTTATAGGTACTTCTTCTTAGATGTGTCTCTCGTCCATCCCCTTATCTACATCCCCTCAGCCACATCTCTTCTGCTGTTGATTTACTTAATTCAGGCTTTCCTCCTTCCTTGGATTATTTGAAGAGCCTTCTAACTAACTCTTTGACCCTAGTAACTCATCTCCAGGCTGGTCGTTCAGAAGAGTGATCTTGAAATATAGCTTTGATTTTTTGCTTGGACCTTTAAATGGCCCTAAGGAACCTTCCAGGTACTTAAATTCATCATTGAAGTTGGCGTTCACTGCTACCTCAGTCCTCCATCTTTCTGTTGTTGTTGTTGTTGCAGTTTGGCTGGGGTCGGGTTTGAACCCACCACCTTAGGTATACGGGGCCAGCTCCCTACTCACTGAGCCACAGGTGCTGCCCCCTCCTCCATCTTTCTCTGCAAATCCCATTTGCAGTCCCCAGAAAATCAGCTCACACTGTCTTCCTTGCCTCTGCATGTGCTGTGCTTTCTACCTAGATTTTTCTTTTTATTTCTCCTTATCCAACCTTTTTCTCCTATATTAACATTTGTTGAGTTGTCTCAGTCTCACAGTCACTCAAAGATGGTGAATACCATTAAATCCATTTAAAAGAAACAGGTGTAGATTACATATTAATAACTTGCCTTCAGTTTTGTCACTATTAGTAGGCGACAGATTCAGGACCTGACCTCCAAGATTCTAATTCCAACAGTGTTTTTGCTCTCTTCACTCCATCGGGGCCCCTGTTTTTACAGTTCCTGCAGTCTGTCAGCGCTCAAGTCCAAATTCAGATTGTTAACCATGTTCTTGTCCAGAATGTGGAATGCATTTTTATTTCTGCTCTATTTATTCTAATTCTACCAGACCCTGCTAAAACTCAAGTTTTTAAAAACCTTAGCCCACTATTTCCCTTAAATTTCTTATTACAACTTTTGTTGTATCAGTCACTTGGATTGTAATTTAGGTCTGCATTAAATTTACTATTATGTGTATATTCCTAGTTACAAGTGCCAAAAGGTCAGGAACTTTAAAAAATATTCCCCCAAGTATATTGCAAAGTATTAAATTAATAAGGGGTAGCCAGTAAAGTATTCAAGAGAGTGTTTTATGACACTGTTTTTCATGTACAGTATAAGGACTTTAGAACCAGAGATAAAGATCATTACCAGCCTCTGTAGTGTTAAAAGACTGAGGCTTGCATTAAGTAAATTATTTAACAATGATATAGCAACTAAGAGACAACAAATGTTTCCTATTTTCCAAACATGATTCATGGGACTATGTGATAACAAATGTTTGTAATTAAAGGAAAAAAGGATTGGGTAACTGCTTTGGCAACTTTATATCAGTAATTATGGAATATTTTCATATCTGATGTGCATTTTACACGACTTAGATTAACCATTGCCTACCTGAGACTGCTCACACATCTATGTAGCATATGGCCAATTCTGTTACACTATTACAGAACCCTCTGAAAGAAATATTTTTCAAAAGAGCCATTTTTCTAATGTTACAGAAGAACTCAAACTGATGTTTTGGAAAGGAACCTATTTTGAAACTATTCTGGTTCAGAGGATGAATTCATTATAGAAATCTGGTAACAAATTTCAAGTGTGGCTAAAAAGATCCAATAAAATTTGATAGGCACTCAGGCAATTTTCAGCCATATTTTTATGTCAGAATAATCAAAATTTACAGAACAGAAGCTAGGAGACAATGTATGAGGAACTCCAGGACTGAAATGTATTTGGAAGGAGTGCAAGTATTAAAAAAGATTTTATGAAGTTTCATACTCAGTAAGTTAATTCTTTTATACAGCATACTATTCATTTAACAAATATTTACTGAGCGTTTTCTGTATGCCAGTTAACTATTGTAGATGCCGGAGATAACACCAGGGAACAAAACAAGATTTCAGAACAGAGTCATATTATCTAACTTAAGTTCTTAAAAGGGTCATTGCTCAGTGGAAGATAGGTGAAAAAAGAGTGGAAACAGGGCAGTCATTTAAAAAGACTTTTGCAATAATCTGAGCAAGAGATGATGGCATGGCCATAGCAGTAGTGTTGGAGATGATGACCAGTCCGAGTCAGATTATATTTTGAAGATGCAGCCAGTAGAATATTTCATTCAGCATTTTAAAGTGAATTGGTTACAGGATATGACAGAAAACAGTCCAAGTTTAGGACTTGAAATTAAGGAAAATTACAAAGGTTTGGGAATAAAGAGTGGAGAGTAGAATTCAGTTTTGCTTGTAAATTTGAGATGCTCATACATTTAAGTCAGGGTGTTTGAACTAAAGGGAGAGGTCAGGCTGGAGTTATGTGAGAGTTGTCAGCACACAAATGGTATCTCAAACCTTGAGCTTGCATCACAAAAGGGATGAATGGAGAAAAAAGGTGAGCTACTCTGTAACAAAGTTTGAGAGGATGAGGATCCAGGAGAGGAAACTAAAAGGAGCAACTGTAAAAATAGAACCACCAAAATAGTAGTTAGTATATGCAAGCTCCTTAAGACTGCATTTCAGACCACTCACCATGTTATCCTGCATTGCGTTTGTTTATCTCCAAATTAGAAATTAGATCATGAGGGAGTGATCACCTATGTTAAATGCTGTTGATAGATGGAGATGAAAATTGAGATCGTTTATTGAAAGCAACACAGAAGCTATTCTGATTCTAACAAAAGCAGTGAAAGCCTGCCCAAAATGGGATCCAGAAAATATCAGGAGAGGAAGGACAGACGAGTATACAAATTCTGTGTAGTATTTTCAAGGAAAGGTGAAATAAAAGGAGGGCCTTTTTGCTTGTTTTTAATCAATATGTATTAATAGGCTGGGCACCTGTGCTTAGTGGTTAGAGTGCTGCCCACATGCTGGTGGGTTCGAATCCGGCCTGAGCCTGCTAAAACAAAACAAAAACACGAAAAAAAGAAAATAGCCAGGCATTGTGGCAGGCGCCTATAGTCCCCGCTACTTGGGTTGTTTAAACCTAAGAGTTGGAGGTTTCTGTGAGCTATGATGCTAAGGCGCTCTACCCAGGGCAACAAAGGGAGACTCTGTCTCAAAATAAATAAATAAAATGTATTAATGGAATGATTCAATAAAAAGGGGAAAATTGTATTGATTAAGTGACGTACACATAAGGATCTACATCTACAGGATCCATTTAATGTGAATCCTTGGTTCTTTGGGGACAGGGTCCTAAGCTTCCTACATCTGTTATCCAATTTATATCACTAATCATGTGTTGGTTAGTGAACACTCCCTTTAAACAGTGCTGGGGGGTTGGTAAGAAATTCTCATAACCTGTATACCTGAGAAATTTACAGTCTAGTTGCTAAAGGGAGAAAAACATAGAGCGCATACCACTTTAACAAGTTCAATGTCTAGTCTATTTTAAAAGAATCCTCATCCCCCAGCTATTTGCACATGGTAATAGTGCTCAAATATTTGGTTATACTGTGTAAGAGGGGGTAGAAAACCAGGACCTTTCAGTCCCAACCTAAGGAAGATGTCAACTGGGTGTTGATAAACTTTGTTGAAGAGAATTTGAACTGGGACTGGTAACTTGGTGGACCTATTAACAACAGAGTGAAGAAGAAAACCCCGAGGATTACAAGGAAGAATTTCAGTATTAGTAATTTTTAACCACACATTTAACCTTTCCCCAGCCCACATAATATTAGCTTCTATTTGAATTGATAATGGAATAACCTCTAACTTTGTAGGAAGGTGGAAAGATATTTATTGCAATACAGAGTAGATACTTGTTCACCGGTGAGGGTTGTTAGCATAAACACTTGCAATGGAGAATAAGCAAGATTGACGCAAGATACACCGAAGGCCTTTCCGCACGGTAGACGATCCGTCTGCCTCGCAGCAGCAGCCAAGGAAGAGACAGCAGATTACCGAGACCAGATTTGCATTTCATTTCTCTCCCCCATTTAAATTTTCTTCCCTTTTCAGCGTTTCCCCAGACTCAGAGAATTTAGCAAGCCGCTTCCATCGTTTTGGGACACGGGAAGAACTCGCGTGGGGAGTGGGGCGGATCTGAAGGTACAAGGATAGAAACTGGCCTCCTGGCACATCTCTTTCCGGCACATTCTCAGCACCAGGTACAAGACTCCCACAAGCTCACTTTCGTAGAAAAAACTGAATCCACGTAAGAGGTGTTACCCTCTCCGTCTTGTATTGCATTTCAGTCACACTCTAAACAGTGACTCAAAGATGTTCAGTTTGGCGCCTTTTCGCTCAAAATATATAAATGTATGTAAGTGACAGCCTGGTCGCACAGGACGTGTGTCTAAGCTTTGTTAAAAGAGTACTTAAAAAGCGCTCCCGTCTCCCTGGTTTGAAAAATCGATTGCTTTCTCTCAGCTTGGCTCCAGAGGCCAGAACGGCACAAGGAAGGTCAGGAGCGAGACCACGGAACACAAATGGCAGAGCCACGGGCCACGCGCGGCAGCTCCAGCCCTACGCGGTCTCTCCGGTCCGGCGCGCGGCCCCGGCCCCGGCCCCGGCCCTGGCTCCGCCCTCGGCCCCGCCCTCGCCCGGACGGCCCCGCCCACGCCCGGCCATGGAGGCGCCTGCGCGCTTGCGCGAGGTCGGGAGGTAGTTCCGGTTCCGGTGTGGCGACTTTCGTTCTCTGCGTTCAGTTGTCGCGGTTGGTGGGCAGTAACTGAGGCAAGATGCTGCGGAATCTGTTGGTGAGGAGCATCTCCGCTTGCGTTCGGATGGGGGCGGTTTGGGGACCGTGGGCTGAGAGAGCACTCCAGCAAACCCTCTCCCGAAAGGGGGGCGGAAGGCGGCTTCTGCAGTCACCTTGGTTGGTGTCCTTTTCTCCTACGTGACTGTCACCCCGGGCCGTTGCCGGGTAGATGCTGGGATTGGCGAGGCTGGGCAGGTGGCCAGAGTGTGGGTTTGCCGCGTCCTGGGTCCGGAGACACCGCCCCTGACCTTGTGGGTGGTCGAGGAGGTCAGTAGCTCTGATCTGAGTAAAACCCAGGACCGTCTGGGGAGTTTCTGATTCCTGGAAGCATCAAGCAGAAATGTGTTCCTCTGGGTTTGGAAGGTTTTAAGCTTTGCAAGCTTCGGAGGGCGGTTTAAAACCCGAGTCCTTCAATTGGATGAGACTTTGGGAGTGGGCACGGCCACAGCGCAGTGTTACTTCCGCCTGGGATGCTGCATTGCTCTCCGCCCTGCCGCCCACTGCGAGAGCTTGAAGTATTTCCCCAGCTCTTTGAAAAAGAAAAGGAGAATGTTAACAATTTTTTCTTTTATAATTATTCAATGAAGTTTTACTGAGCTTCTCAATATCATTTGTTATAGAAAGTAGAGTGTAGGGCGGCGCCTGTGGCTCAAAGGAGTAGGG